CTAACCTTTAGACTAGAGGAGATCTCAAAAGGTATACCCTGAAGGTCATTTTTAGTGTGTGGATTCGAGTGCTATGCAGTGAAGTGAGGGAACCAAATTCAAACTGTGTTGCAAGGACAGCCGGAGGGTTTTCGAAATGATCTAAGATGGCGAGTCGCTCGGACGTATCTCCTGAACCCAAAACGACATGGTAGGTGCTCGAGCGCTTCTTTGTTGATTAAAATATATCTCTTTATTGGTTCCTATCTATACTACAAGCACACACACGCATATAGGTGTGGGCCCCACAGTTGTTTGAGAGAGGATTCCTCCGACCGGATCACCCATATTCAGGCCTACTTGGGACAATGAGAAATCAAGCTTGACCAGTGCCTCCTGTAGATTGAGAGACTGGTTTCTTATAAAGAAGCAGTTCCCATGTAGATTTTAGGTGGCTGCCCTTTTAGTGAGAGAAAGTCTCGGTTACTCTCGAGGTTCTCCTCCTAGACAGTGGTTTAGCTGTGGATTGAAGATGGTCTCTTCCTGGATAGTGTTTTATTTAGGGAATAGAGATGAGAGATCGACAAGTCTTGTCAATCAGGAGAGCGAGTCTAAAAGATTTTACTCAACTGGATTTTGTCAAGGGTTATAGAGGTAACTCTGTCCCAAAATCTGTAATATAATTTTAATTGGTATCGGATCCTTAGGGTTATTTAAGATCCTTGTTAGGCATAAGGTTTGTGGCAGATCGTAGATCTTTAAAGATGGCTGGAGGAAGTTCAACCAGATTTGAAATTCTAAAATTTGATGGTTTAGATTTCTCAACTTGGAAATTAAAGATGCATATGGTGTTGGTAAAAGATGGTGTGTGTGTTTCATAATTTATTTCTCGTACTATGGCTCGTGCTCTCCTATTTTATTTATAGCTGGATGAGTACATGGTCTTGGTGGGAACCAACTTTTGGGATTCCTGTTTCCGCATCTGAGAGGGTTCCTAAATCATAACAAGTGGTGTTAGAGAAAATGGTTTAGTACAAGGCTAGTATTCATATATTTAGTTGTAGAAAAGCACATGGCAAATTATGTGAGTGTTTTATTTGCAGTAGAGAAATATGATGGCAAACACTATTTTTCAGCAAGAATGATGGAGATATTTATTTGGCAATAAATGAAAAATTCATAAAGTTATCCAATTGATGTTGGCACGGTGAGCAAGTGATTTTGATATCAATGTGGAAATTGTTGGATATGATGATATCCAAAATCACCCATATAAAGAAATCCCATATTATGTGGGATTGTGATTGGTATTGATAAGTTTTCCCTAAAAGAAATAGAAATCTAAAAATAATAGGACTCTGTGATATATCCCTTAGTTCTTGAGATATATGTAACACATATAGGAAGTTTCTTATTTGGTGTGGACTCGCCCTAACCTTATATATATGAGATGAAAGTATAAAGAATTTGTGTGCCCTATTTGGGTCACCAAATGGAAAATGTGGCTTCCTCTAGAGAGAGTCAGGGCCTCGTCAGCATCGGCAAGGCCTCCCCTTAGAGAGAAGAGTGCTTTCTATGGAAAGAAATGCCTCGATGTACCTCTTATAGATTGAGAGGCTAATTTTTTATAGAGAAACAGTTTCTATGCAGATTTTAGGTGGTTTCCCTTTTAGTGAGAAACAGTCTTAGTTGCTCTCAGGGTTCTCCTCTTGGCCAGTCGTTTAGCTGTAGATTGGAGATGGTCTTTTTTTGGATAGTAGTTTAACTGTGAAATAAAGATGAGAGATTGACAAATCTTGTTGATCTAGAGAGCGGGTCTAAAAGGATTTACTCGACTGAGTTTGTTGAGGGTTATAGAAGTAACTCTATGTCCCAAAATCTATAATGTAACTTAAATTAGTATTAGAGCTTTAGGGTTGTTTAAGATCCTTGTTGGGCATAAGGTTTGTGGTAGATGGCAGATCTTTGAAAATGGCTGGAGGAAGTTCAATCAGATATGAAATTCTAAAATTTAATGTTTTAGATTTCTCTACCTGGAAATTAAAGATGCATACGGTGTTGGTGAAAGATGGTGTGTGTGTGTTTGATGCTTTATGTTTTGTACTATGGTTCGTGCTCTCTTCTATTTTGTTTCTAGCTAGATAAAGACACTATCTTGGTGGGATCCAACTTTTGGGAGTCATGTTTCTGCATCTAAGAGGGTTCCTAAATCATAACAGTAGAGGCATTAGATTTGGCGTTGGCTCTCATCTTTTCACTTTTCTATCCTGATGATTTATGGCATCTTAAAAAGGGTTCTCTCAGTCATCTATAGGGTTGAGATAGGGGGATCTCCTATCTCCCTTTTTAGTTACTATCACTACTGGAATTTTAATATTACTTTGAAATGCTTTGAAATAGTTGGTCTTTCATTTGGATTGCCTATTTCAAATCAGGGGATGGCAATCTTGCATTTATGATGATACCCTTATTTTTAGTGATGCTTGTGAACATAAAATTCAAGATTTGAGTTATGTTTCAAGGTAATTTCAAGTCTTAAAATGAATTTGGAGAAAAAAGTCGGTGGGTATAACTTGCTTCAAAGAGGTGGTTTGCAATTTAGCTGGCATTTTGCATTATGGTCTTGATAACTTTGCAATGAGATACTTGTGTCTTCCATTAACTGAATCACAAATTACCCGAACTATCTAGATCCAGTGATTCAAAGATTTTCAATCAAATCAGTTTTGTGAAAGGCCAAATATTTATATGTTTACTGGAAGATTCACTTTGTTAAAGTCCACCTTGGCTTTATGTCATCGTTGCAACCTTAAACAATCCAATTAAGGCGCACCTTCAAATTTTATCATAACATATAATTTTGATGTAAAATATTTTTAAGATTATCTCAAAATCGATTTTTATATCTAATTATAAAATTTTAAATTCCAGAAATAGTTAAAATCAAGTATATCTATAAACATATGAAAACCTTGAAAATAGACGGCCTAAATAATGTGTTGTAAGATGCATTATTTATGGGACTCAGAATCCTTTTTTTTTTTTGATCATAATCATACATCATCTTGATGTCGAGATGATCAATTAAATGGTTTTTCAACATTAGAACAACCTTTGAGGTGCATCTATAGTTCCAAATTTTAAGGTTGCAACCTTATATAAACTTTTTCCTATGTCATCATTTAGAAGGAAAACGTTTATATAACGATGCAACCTTATCATGTAGAACTATGGATGCCCCTCAAAAATCCATCAGAAAAGGTAATTTTAATGTTGAAAAACCTTTTGATTGATCATCTCGACATCGAGATGTGTGACTATGAAAAATAAAAAGAATTTAAATCTAAGAAATAATGCATTTTACAACATATTATTTACACGATCCATTTTCAAGATTTTCATATGTTTATAGATCTACTTGATTTTAACCATTTTTTAAATTTAAAATTTTATAATTAGATATAAAAATAGATTTCGGGATAATCCTAAGAACATTTTACATCAAAATTATATACCATATTAAAATTTGAAGGTGCATCTTACGTCTACACCTATGGATGCATCCGTATGCCAACTGCACCCCATTTAGAATGCTAAGTAATGTTGTGAAAAAAATTAGAAGAAATGACGAAGAATTTATCTTTTTCTTTTTCTTTTTTCGCCGGGGTCTCATAATATCATTTGATGTAGTGGGACAAAGTGTGCACACCGCTTTTATGACTAAATGGTGATGGAGAAGCACTAAGCCCGGGAACAATTCTTGAAGGCTTTGTTTATATGTAAATATGGTATGAAAATTTTTACTTATAGGTTTTGGTTCTTCTATCTCGAGGACCCCACCTTTGTGGAAGGGTAGTTTTAGTTAAATATGTGATCTACAAAAACATTATAATGTAGATTTCCAGGGGAGATTCAGTGTCATAGATACCTAAAGCTTCAATTTGATGACATATATCTAAAGCCAAAAATAAATATGCAAAGTTGGGTGATTTAATTGATGGCTCAGGGTATAATATAGTCTAGTCTACCTTGCAGATACAATAGACTCTTCAATGCGATCATCATCAACTTGAATCAAATCTATGCCATGTTTGCAGAAATTTTATTTTAAAGCCGGGGGCTGCAATGAAGTTATTTGGGAAGTTGAAGCTAATGGTTATTCCTAGTTAAATCATGATCCAAATGGATGGTTGGGAAAACTTTAGTTTTAATTAATGTCACACCAAACATTATTTTTTATTTTTTATAATTTATTTTGACATGAAATTAGATATGTCTGCACTCCTTGTGGGGGCATTTCGGAAAAACATTTTGATACAATAAAATGAACTAAATACCTGTGTAACTTATAGGGGTATTTTGGTTAGTTATTTTTCATATTTTTCATATTTTTATTAGATGAACCCCTTTGAGAAGTAGATAAGAACAAAGTTTCATGTGAATGATTTATAAAATAAAATAAAATAAAACGGTAAAATAAATATGATATACACTTTGAGCTATCTAATCCACATTAGAGCTATCTAACCCAGATGATTATTTTTAAAATAAAAACTTTAGAATTTAAGTTTTCTAATACTTGAATCTCACTTTCAAAAATTATATTAAAAAATTAAATTAAATTTAAGTTTTTTAACACTTATATCTTGCCTAAAAAATTAGAGGATCTCTATTCAATCTCAATACATAATTTTTTTGGAGTGCATAGAGTGTGATGGGAGACTTTTTTTTTTTTGGTTAAATGAGGATATTAGATGGGTTAAAGATGCTACAACCCCAAACTTTTCGGTCTTAAAATCATCTTAAAATGATTTTTACTGAGGGGGTAAACCGACAGTCACGAAATCTTTTGGTTTGACGAATCAGTCGCTATAAACTAAAGTATGCCACTTTTGGAGATGGTGACACTCACTTTTGAGAGAGTGTAGGGTGAAACTAATAAAGAACAAGCTCAATAATGAAGAAACAATAAGAGAAAAAGAATCATAACACAAAGCAAAAAATTTACATTTATGCAGCTTTAAGTGTGGGGGATTGCAAGGCCACTCAAATTGCAAACCGGACAAAGCCCTAGAACACCAAACAGCCAAGTTAGATATCAGCCGGTTAAACTGTTTAGAGCCGGTTCAAGATTGTGCTCAACTCATTAGTTGAACCGGACCGCAAAAGTACCACGCGTTTTCATTGCTTACGACGTGCAACCCATCCAAACGTGCAACATTTGGATACCAAATTCAACGTCACATTGTAAACACATAGCAGAATAGCATATTTACAAAGGTAAAGTTCAGCTTCTTACAAAGCTACCACATAGCAGAAAAACATAAACTTGTAAGGGTACTACTGATCTTCAGTCGTGTGAGTCGACTACATTCCACTAGTCACCCCAAAATCCACTTGTGTCAGTCGATTACATTCAACTGATCACCCCAAGGTCCACTTTAAAACCACGACAGAAAAACACTCGACTTCCTCTTGGTACTCCGCAATGTCCGTATGCGCGTACCTTGCCCGCTCCGGTTTTCACATCACTGTTCCCAACAATCCAATTCCCATTTCTCGGCTCTCACACTAAAATAAATCGATCGCTTACCCCTCTCTCTGACATTACAGTCTCCACTTTCCACTTTCTCACTCTTCCAAAGTTACAATTTTCGTCCTTCAGAATAATTCACAGTAATGGATTGATCACAGTAATGGATTGATGTTCAAAAAGTACAGCCTTCCTGTATAAAGACATGCAATTCCAGTTACAGTGAATGAGCCATTAATCTACTCCCTCTCTCTAGAACACTTACCCGCTCTAAAAATCAGAAGGCCCTTCATCATCGCTCTCATAGCTCCGTCTCCCAAACCTCCTAGTCAATGCTACAAACCCCGACCTCCTCCTATGGGTCGGAATCTGTGTACTCGAACCTGAACCAGAACCCAAGCTCGGACTAAATGGCAACACCCTCGAAAGGAAGCCCCAAATCGAGTTCCCAATTCCAGAAGCCCGACTCTCTCTCGTCCCACCCCCACTGCCTCTATTGGCCGCCCTGTGATACACAACCGGCAATTCCCTCACTCTCTCCTCTCCACCTCTCGAAACTGTAAATGTACCTACTGCATAACCACCATTTGGCAGCCTCCTTATGGTCAAGCCCACTGGAAAACTGTTCTCTTCGGTTTGAGAACTGGTTTCTCTCACCTCAAACTCTCCCTCTTGGGCCAGGAAGTTGCCCACAGTGGGCAATTCACTTCGACAAACAGGGCATGAATTCCTGATATTAAGCCATGGAACAATGCACTCAGAATGGTAGAGGTGTTTACAAGACATCTCTCTAGCTTGGCCGCCGAGCTCGAAGGCCTCTTTGCACACTGCACAATGGAGCTCTAGAGAGATGTGAGCTTCTGTTAGAGAGATAACTGGGAGGGCCTCAATGGCCGTCTTTGAGGCTGGGGTGTGGTCGAAGCGAGAGGCTCGAGGGGGCTCGATGCGGGTGAGTTGCTCGATCAATCGATCAAAACCAGACGCCATCAAGAACTCAGCCATGGTTGGAGGGAGGGGTCCAAGGCCCGAACCGGAGCCGTCATCAAAGAAGACTTCAAAAGTGGGAGGTGGGTTTGGAGGGGTAGATGGAGGAAGCCATGGACGAGGGGGAGGGGGAGATGGAGAAGGTGGGGCTTGAGGCCTGTTCATGAAAAGTTGCAGAGCATTGGATAAACGGTTTCTGGGTCTTCTTCTTGTTGTGGGGTTTCTCGGTGGGCGTGGATGAATTTCTTCGAAGAAGCCACCCCTACAAACGGGGCAAGATACAGTCTCTCTCGCCCATATTCGGAAGAGGCGATGGCATCGATAGCACCAGAAGGAGGAGCCCTGCGTTGACGCCATGAGAGAGAGACGAGAAAAAGCAGACATGAGAGAGAGAAGATCTTAGAGAGAGAAAGGATGGAAGGGGGCAAGGAATTGACAATCAGGAACCAGAAGATGGTTTTGTGGCAGAGAAGGCCAGGGACCAAAACCCATGTCGGAAATGGGGAGAGAAAGCTGACTGAGAAAGAAATTAGAGAGAGAAGAACCGTAAATAATAGAGAACTGAATAGATGAGAGAGAAAGGATTAACAGATATAAAGAAGAACAAGAAGAGAGAGATTCGAAAGAGTGAGAGAGAAAGATATCAGTGAGAGAGAGAGAAGAGAGAGATTTGAAGGATGGGAGAGAGAGAAGAGAGGGGGAATTGATGGAGGAGGATTTTGGGTTTGAGGGCCGACCCGAAAACAGTGAGATCCGGAAAAAGTAGATTGCGTGCGGATAACTCGGTGGCCGTTACAATGGAAAACGACACCGAATCCAACCGAACTTCATTGCCTAAAAACACCTCTAAATTTACATCAAATATCATCTACGTACCAAATATATCTGAACCCTTATGGGCCCTTTTCTTTAATAAATGACCATTATAGACTCAACTATAGGCTATCCAGTCTTTGTGGTCTGAGTTTGAGCAGGCTTGGATTGGTACAAGGCAACCCTATGAAATTCTAATGACGCTATTTATCTTTTGTTTACAAGCGACAAACATTTTTTGGCTGATAGATCATTTTAAAGAAATTTTTTTGAATCATGTCTTATATTTTAAGTTGTCCAATTTGATATTTGATGACTAGAATGAGTTGTGTCCTCGTTATTCCAAATATAGATGGTCTTATAGTATATAACTCCAGCTCTTTTACAAAGCAGTATAGAATAAGACCGAATATCCTTGGAATAAGATTTTCAAAATCCCTCTTAATTAAGATGCGAAATTTGGCCGTAAGAGTTGTGCCATTGATTATTTTCAAAGTTCATAGAAATATTTCAAACATTCTAACATGTCACTAACAGCTTTAGTTGACATCCTATGATTAAAAGTGATTGTGATTTTTTATATCAAAATTAAATGATCATATAACATTTGATTCCTCCTTTTACTTCTTTTACGATGCATATGGAGACCATAAGTTCCTAAATGAAAATGGTACTACTTAAATATTATTTCTTAAAATGAAAGGGCTCTATTCTAGTTCATGACTGGATTTTTTCTTATTCAATTTAGAATCTTGTGAAGCATAGGATTTAGAGAAACCAAAACAAGATAGAGCTTGACTTGGTTTTTGGGACCATAACGGTAAACTTGGTTTTAGAAACCTCTATAAAAGAGAGAAAATAAAAAATCTTATATACAAGAATGAGATTTATCTCTCGATAGTTGTTGTGAGAGGAGTTGCATAATGTGCCAATTAGGCGTTGGAACAACCCTTCAGTGTGTTGATCCACAATAACAATTCTGGTCCAGATCAAGTGATTCTGTGAAGTTAAAAAATAACATGAAAATAAAATTTAAAAAAGCGTTTGGTTCACTTGGTCCGAGTAGGCAACTCTTGATACAAATTGACAAATCGTTTTCTATGCTAAAACAATAAATCGTTTTCAAATCAAGCCGATTCTCAATTTCGTAAAGGAATCAGCCCTGATACCTACCCATTCAAAGCAATTCTCACTGGGGTAGATTGTGGAACCCTGAGTTACCTATCTGAATGGCACAAAAACAAAGATCTCCCACTCAATCAAGGCTTCGAGCCTTGAACTCTCTCTCTATATACAAGAAAGGTTCATCCTATCAAGGATGAAGGAGACAATATTCGAAAAGATCTAAACAGATTGGTCTGAGTTGGTATTAAAGCGTAGGGTACTTTGGTCAATATGCTCGGAGTTTCAGTACAACAGCGGTTGCCGCGTTCCTGAGTTGGCTGCTTGTTGGGGAGAAGAAGCCCTGCGTTTGTGACACGCTTTATGGTTTCTATAAGGTTGTAACCTTAAACAATTCAATTAAGGATACGCATTTTTTCTGTCAAATGTTTTTAGGATTATTGAAAATTTATTTTTATATTTACTCATAAAATTTTAAACTCCAAAAATAGTTAAACTCCAGTAAATCTATAAATATATGAGAATCTTGAAAATAGACGATTTAGATAATGTGTTGCAAGATGCACTATTTCTTGCACTAAAAATCTTATTATTTTTTCATATTGTTTTATCTCGATATCGAGATGATCAATTAGAAGGTTTTTCAACATTAAAACAACATTTTTTGATGGATTTTGGAGGTAGATCCATAATTCTACCTTTTAAGGTTGCAACCTTATATGCGTCGGGAAGACTTTTCCATATATATATATATATATATATATATATATATATAT